TTCCTTTACTCTAAGCTGAAATATTAATAAGTATAAGTCAACACTTTTAAAAAACATTTCACTCATTCCTGATTCTTCGCCATTTCTGAGTTTTTCTTTTCTTTTTTTGGCTCGTTACAACGTTCGACAACATGTGAGAATTTCTATTTACTACTTAAAAAAACGATAAAGGAATGTAAGTAAACTTACGGATTATTGACAGAATGTTTGTGATTCTTTTGAGTTCTTTTAGCAAAATGTTCTCTTTTGGTTCCGAAAAAAAAGATAAACAAATGGACAGTACTATCGATAATTCATAAACTATTTAATGCAAAAGGAAAATAGGTCAAACCAAATGAGAGATTTATTATACTAAGGCTTTCCATCAAATTTCCACTGCTTTTTTTTAACAAATTTTTGATTTTCCTTTTTTCAGATTTTTTGTTCGAAAAAAAATAGAAGAAGAAAGATGCTTAATAAAATTCAGAAATATATAATAGTTTCTAAAATTGTGCGAATAAAAAATAAAAATGACTGAAAAGAAATAAATTTCCCGGAAATTTACTAGTCCTGAAGGGTTGTGCGGAATGATATAAACTGGTTTATCTAGTGTGTAAAGATTTTAGCCATGTAATTAATGATTGTTTACATTTAATCATAAAATTAAGAACAAATTTACAAGTGAAAGAAAAAATGACAAATAAACGGATTAAAAAATTGATCTGGACGATGTTTTATTTAATAAAATAGATCATTTAAAAATAAATGGATTTACAAGTAAAAACATGTAAGAATTGATTTTCAATAATTATCAATTAATTAACCTTAAAGAATGATCATAGAGGATTTTCTTAACAAGCCTAATTCAACATATATAATTATAAAGATATACTTTGCATTAATTATTGAAATTAGTCAATTTTTGTGATAAAACGGTAGCATTTCATTATTAATTTAAATCTCCTTTAACCTCCTTCAATATACAATTTTGAGAGATAAATAGCTGTTGAACCACTTGCGCATGTATTATTCAGCTACAATACTTTAAATGCATTGTTTTTTACCTGCTAGCAAGAAGAAATTAACTTTCATAGAGACTAATTATATTAATTAATAATGATATTAGTAAATTTTGATCTCAGTGCTGCATTCCGGAATATAGGAACGATGGTTTATCCAACCCACTTGCCGACAATGACTCCTTTTTGAACTGATGAGTGTATCAGTTTAGGTATCAAAATATCAATTTTTTAAATTTTGTGTAACAAATCATTTACTTGAGAAATATACGAATTCTGATTAAGACCACTCATAACACTTTTTTTTCGATTTTGCCGACAGAAAATGTTTGGGATATTTTAAAAAGTATGATCCACATTGTGTTTAGTGTGGTACAAACCTATTATCAAATCTAATTAATTATTATATAATTATTCGGGCAAAATGGCTGATATAGCTCTAACCGACAACAATCCAGAATGACAAATTAATTCCTTGATAACGGATTCACTAATGACATCAGATTTGTATAAGCAAGATTTAAAGGCAATGCTTCATCATTATAACAGACAAATTACTTCATCAAAACATTTATCAAAACTGGTTAACGATATTTTTGATATTTCTGAAATTTTGCCAAGAAGTGAAAGCATTCGTCGAATGTACCCAAAGCTCCATTAGAAAATTTTTTTTATATATTCTTTTTATATAAAGTCCTTAGATAATTCTTACAAGGCAAGAAAAAGCTAATTCTCATGACCAAGCTTTTTTTTCTTTTTTTTTACTATAAAATTTATGTACGGAGAGAAGAGATAAATAATTTTGATATACTGCAAGCAGACAATTTTCATTGTTGGCAAAATATTTTGAAATCGTCGAGGAAGTTGCCATCGTCGGCGATGCTAACATTCGAAGATATTACCATTAGAGTTGTCGATGTTAATATCTCCGATATTAACAACAA